CTAAATATATCTCTTAAATAAATTTACAAAAAAAATTAATATAAAGCATGAAGCCTGAGACCGAAGACATTACTTTTGAAACACTGGTCATGTGACATATATAAGCTTATGAGATATAAATAAATAAGATTTTCTATATTCTACAATTTTATTCCCATAATGACTTCAAACCTTAGAGAACAGTGGATGGAGGTAATTTAGTAATATCAAAACCATTAAATTATTTTAGATCTAATTAATTAAATTAATAATTATTTTGGAGTCATCCTTAAGAAAGGATGAGCTTCAGTATTAAACACATAATTATCTAATGAAATTACATCAGGTGTACTAAACAGTAGATACAAATATTTTAAAGTTTCTGCCAAAAAGAAACTAATGAGAAGAAAAAGAAAAAATGGTTATCAACAAGACTTTATTTAATAAATGCATTGTAATAATCAAATAAATGAATTCGACGGTTTTACCTTTCCATATTATTATTTTGCAGGCGCTTTTCATCCATTACATCACGTAACCCGGAATAAGCTATTGGCGTTTTACACCATTTTTCAATTGACTTGTGAATTTAAATAAATTATAAATAATTGTTATAAAGTGTAATCATTGAAAAATCTTTGAATTTTGAGCAAAATCTTGATTATTACCTGCCATATCTTCCACCCCTTTTCTTGATATTTCTTATTTCCAGTAATTCGATACAAAATGAATAAGCTTTCAATAGTTTCTAATGAAAAATTCAAAAGGGAAAAATTATTCTCGCATGCAGTGTATAGACACTCTCAACTTCCTCTAAATTTGATCACATACCAGGTCTAAGTAAATAACTTCCGTCTATTCTATAAAGTCCATCAGGTAAAGTATCACCATTATGCCAGACTGAAACTGCTTTCGCATCTTTGGTCAAAAAATATATAGATTCCGGTCCAATTCCCGTCGTTGTTGAATTATAAGCCCAATAACATGATTCCGCTAATCTTATTGCTACTTCTAAATCTTTTGGTCGATGTAAAATTTTTGATCCAATAGCCAACATTCCTGGCGTAAAACAGGACTTTAATTCACAAACAAAAAAAAGATTAATTATAAAGGTATAGGTATACGAGTTTCTCTATAGAAAGAATAAGATATAATATTACCAAATGTTCCATTCTAGAAATAAATGAACCAATTCTACCAGAAGTGTATTCCCCAAGGAATAATAAATCAGGACGATCTTTAACCTGACCTTCCTTTACCAAATATTTATGCATGCTGTCAATCGATTCTTCATCTACAAAAAGTAAAAAAATTCATAATCTTTCCTAAAGTGATTTCTAATATTACAAATCTATCCACTTACACATTCTCCTATACTGATCAATTGCACCTCCAACATACACATATTGCTTGATCAAGTACTAAAGAAATTAAATAATAAAAATTCTTCAAATCGTTACTAATGCATGGATATAATAAGATTTGGCTATGTTAAATGAATACCTCATAAAAACTGTCACCCATGGCTCCGAAACTTATTTGGTCTACATAACGAAAAATATAGGATATATCATTTCATATATGTATGCGCGCGTGATATACGAAGAGAATTCAACTTACGACCAATAAATTTTCCATATTCTATATCAATATAGAGGGGGTAAAGACCGGGAATTTCTTTACTAGCTTTATCAAGAACATCTGTTACCTTTTGCACCTATAAATATAAATTAATTAAGTTTAATATTAAAGAATATTCCCTCTCCCCCTTATATTATCTCTACATACGGCGTAGAAGAAGGTGCTATTTCCGGTTAATTCAGCCAACTTCATAAATTCTAATTGTAACGTTCCAACTTGAGATAAAACCCCCCGAAAAATTGGTTTATAACTTCCCCTCGTGATATTCAAATCGTTATAAGGTAATCCAGAAGGAGTATCAAAAGCGACTAACATAGCTTCACCCAATTCTATTGCCTTTATTAACAAAATTTCTTTACCAGATAATTCGTACGCACTTAATAATCCGCCTAAATATCTTATGGTGGTCTCAAATACACTAATTTCCATCCTTGAATTAGTAAAATTAACATTAGCTAAATAGTTCGTAGCATTCGTAAATTCAGCTTTAAGGTTCATTATCCACATGGTGTCTAATGCATCAACCATCGTGGCTCCCCATCCATTAAAATTATTCCTTGAAGTATTAGTTATAGGTAAAATTTCATCCGATCCCCAACCGTAATTGACGTATCCATTCCATGCGTGTAAAAATCCTTTTTTGATCGATTCTTTACGATCTTCTCGTAACTTTCTTTCTGCTTTTGTTTCAATAAATTGTTTTTTTAAACTCGAGTAGGGAAAATCGTATTGAATTTTTGTTAAGGATGAAACATTATATAGTACAACATCATCCCCTAATTTATTATATTCCGAAGAGGGAGGTATAGGAGCGGGAATAATTGGTTTTTGCGGAGGAGAACTAGTATCAGTAGTATCACTCCAAGTAGTATCACTCCACCATTGTTTTGGGTTTTCTAATATATCCGGATATCGGTTTAATGTTACAAATATTTGATAAGCTAGTAAAAATAAAATGATTATAAGTAATACCGATATTCTTAATCGTGTATTTAATTTCCATAAAAATTTATTATTATTTGAAGTGCTCATAATTTTTCTTTTAAAACTGCGAAAAAATAAAAAAAAAAATAGTATAGCAATTTTTTAAGTGTGGTAAATAAAATCAATAAAGAGCTATATGCCTTTTATTTACCTTTTTTTTTTTTTTTTTGTTTTAAAAAAAAGAGTATTTATTTTGTTGAACATAAATGTTATGCATTTATCAAAGAATCATGTTGTCTCACCACACTTACCATAAAAGGCTATATAAAATAAAATTAAACGCAACATACAAACGTGTGGCAAATGCGAGTTCGGGTACAAAACTTTTGAGGTCACTTTGCAACCAATAAGAAATCGAGGGAACTTAACTTTCTGCGCCATAAAATGACATTTAGAATGTACATCACGATTATCAACGTACACAGTATTTGTTTAATCTTTAATCATCATGATAGCTAGAGTCATTATGAGGATAAGACGATCTTTGAACACAAACAGATCTTTTAATAAATTATTTAAAGAGGTCGAAAAAGGCTTTCAAGGATTTGAATTTAATTCAAAATGAAACAGTTACCAGAAAATAAATTTGTTTCAATAATTAAAGATCAAAGTATAATCATTATACCCGAGTTTAAGCTACATTCGGGAATCGTATTGCACGATGTATCGGTAGCGTATAAAACTTGGGGAAAATTAAATCAGAAAAAGAATAATGTGATGTTAATTTGCAATGTTTATACCGGTAGCGCTGATTTTACGGAAATATGGTCTCCGTTAATGATTGGAAAGGGTAAAGCGTTTGACACTACAAAATTTTTCGTGTTTTGTGCAAACGTACTCGGATCAGCCTATGGAACCTCATCTTCATTAACGATCAACCCCGATACCGGAAAATTATATGGTCCGACATTTCCACTTACAACTCCGAGAGATGATGTTAGGTATTACAAATTTGGACATTTCACTTCCTTTTGAATTTTTCTTAAATTTATTAATTCATTGTTGTTTGTCGAGTAAGGTTACAAAAATTGGTTTTGGAATCATTGGGAGTTAAACAGGTAGCAATTTGCATTGGAGGTTCTCTAGGAGGCATGCAAGTACTTGAATGGGCTCTTGTCGGTAAGCAAAAGGACGGGGATGAAGAATTTGTTAAAACGATAGTTCCTATCGCTACTTGTGCTAAATTATCTGCCTGGGCCATTGCTTGGAATGAGGTTCAAAGACAAACCATCTACAATGATCCTTTATATTGTAAGTGAATTAAAATGTTAGAATTATGTAATAAATAACCTATAAGAGTATTTCTAAAAATATTGTATTTTCAAAATAAAAAAGGTAATGGTTTTTATGACCCAGAGAATGTAAGTAAATATATTTTTTTTATTTAAGAAAAGAATTTAGGATCTAAAAAAATATCTAAATTGTTTAGCCTCCAAGCAAAGGATTGTTTATTGCTAGAATGAACGCACTTATCACTTATAGGTCAAGAAATGCTTTTGAATTGAATTTTGGTAGAGATGTAAAAGAACCTGATCATTATGACGTAAATGAGCCACCATTTTATCAAGTACAATCGTACCTTAATTATCAAAGTGACAAGTTTATTAAAAGATTTGACGCAAATTGCTACATAAGTTTAACTCACAAGTTGGACAATCATGATATATCTAATGGAAGAGGTGGAGATATTAACAACGTATTAAAATCCATTAATCAACCAGCTCTCATATTAGGTAACTTTTTCAAAGACTTTTTATTTATAAAAATTTTATTTTATTTTATTTTCTCTTTATTGATTGTAATTTACCTAAAAAAAATAGGGTTGAAAGAGGATGTATTATTTCCTATCTCTGAACAGTATAATCTTGCGGAAAATATACCGAATTCTGAAATCGTTATTTTAGGTATCGAAGATGGTCATTGTGCATTTTTAAACGAAAATGATACTTTAAATAATCTTATTCTTGGATTTATTAAAAAACATCTTGGTGAAATTTTTGATGCAAGCATTGAATCGGAGTTTGAAGAATAAATCCAAAAATGGAATGTATTTTTAGTTTTTTTTGATATGTAAAAAAATTTTGTGACGAATTCTTCTTTGATAGTTACATAATTACTCGCAAAGTCCCAAAATCTATTCTATTTACTACGCCGATTTATTATCAAAACTCAACGTTTAATTAATTACTAATTGTTTTTCCTTAAATAAATAATTATCTATGCCAAAAAGTTAAGCTATTTTTAACACCTGAAAAGAACTTTAAATGGACCCCAAAGAATACTAAAATACGACGATTTACTGAATACCATTTTTCCGAATATACCTTTTCTCAAAGCCAATTTTCCGAACTGGAGATTTGCCCGAAATCTCAAATTTCCAGATTGCAATTATCCTGTTATCTCGAATATCGATATCCCGAACGGTCATTTTCCTGAAAATTTACATAATTATCAACTGGAAAAGCAAGGTTCGGAAAAATGGCTTTCCTTCGGAAATCTGGATTTAGTGAATATGGAATTAAGATATAAACTAATGGTAGTTCCCTTTCCTGTTAAATAAAAATTTTATGTAATTTATCCAAACTTTCAAGTATCCATCTCTTCTTTATGATGTCTTGATAATTATGTATCAAAAAAAAAAACAAATCTTACGAAGTGAACATTTATGTAGCGAAGTAACGTTAAATCCGTTGCGCCACTAAAAAAACGATAAATAATAATATTTGTAATCATGTGACTGCGAGCGTTAATTTACCCAGTATCACAGAAAATTCTAACGCCGGCCTGC